TTTTCCACCGTGGGCCAATACCATGTAAAATGTCAATTATATCTCAGTAAAAAGGGATAGAACAAGTTTAAAAGATGAGCTAATAAGTCATCTGCAAATCTACTTTTGCTTTGAAAATGAACCAACTTCCAGAAATATGGCATTTTCTACTCTGCTTGTATTGGTTTAATCTTCACAATGAGTCAAGTTAAATGCTTTTAAAGCCAACACAAGTTTAACTTAAAAATTCAAAATGTTAAATGCCTTTTTGTATCTCATGGTTTGGCCTGGAACAACTGTATTGATATATTTATTAATAGTGCAAAAGTAATACGACCCCCACCAGTGCTGCATGAGAGGCTGAGACTGGCTGCCTATCATGGATGATGTGCTCTGGAAAAATACCCTTTTTCCTTACCTTTCCTTTTCAACTTTTTCATTCTTTTGGACTAAAGTAATTAGTTTGATTTTTTTAAACACTAGACCAATTAGCTTAGTCTCTTTTTCTTTTTTGTTGAGCTAAGTAATCAACTCATTTGAAAGATTTATAACATCCAGACCTATCATCAAGAACTTAGAATGTTTCTTATTCTCCTTTTACTGATCAATACATATTAAACACTGAATAAGTTGTAGACTCAAGCTGCACAACATCATGATTTAATATATGTACATATTGCAAGATGATTACCAGAGCAGGCTTCATTCTCACTGCCTCACATGAGTAACTCAGGCTTTGATGATTACTTATTCGCTATATGATTGCAAAGGGGCATATGCATGATTACTTATTCGCTATATGATTGCAAAGGGGCATATGCATGGAACTTTGCACCCCTCAGACATGGTCCTTAACAGTGCTGCTCAGCTGACAGGGATGCTAAAAAGAACCAAAGTGCAATATTTGTAGTTTTCAAGAAACGAAGCTTTGTGGATATATAGGAAGGGCAAACACTTCAAACAAAAAAAACCCCAGAATATTTTTTTCTCTTCTGGGTTCTCTTAACTGTTATTAATATAATTTTAAAATAATTTTTATATTAGACAATGCTTTGAATTCTGCATGGTAATATATTAATATTACTTATCTCAAAATTTTTCACTTACCATAATATTGACCTTTGCTGCTTTTTTTTGTTTTAAAGATTTATTTATTTATGCATACGGAACTGGGGTCCAGGCCAGAGGCTTAGGGGCAGTGGGAGGATTCACCAGAGACAGAGAGGGGAGCAGAACAGGCAGATCTACGAAGTACACTGCTGAGGGGAGCAGCGGGAGGGTCAGGAGTGTTCACGTCCTGGGCGGGGACCGAACTCACGCTGAAGTGGCTTTAGCTTCTTAGTGCTGTGCTTTAGCCTGCTGCACCACCAGGGAGGGTCCCTTTGCTGTTTTTTTTAACTCTTCTAACATTTGTGTTATTTGTCTGATTTACTTAAATTGTAAAAACGTCACAGTTCAGTAGTGCTAACTACATTCACGTTGTTGTACAACAGATCTCTAAGACTTTTCTTGGAAAGTTGAAACCTATACCCCTTGAACATGACTTTCCCCTTCTCCCTCACCCAAGTCCTTGGCAATCACAATTCTATTTTCAGTGTTTCTATGAACTTATCTATGTTAGACATCTCCTATAGTATGTATCTTTTTTTAATTAAGTAACTTGTTTAATTACATTTTATACCATTGTTCATTTCTGTACAATGTATGCTTTCTCCTCTCAGGTGTAGGTGTAGTCCCCTTAAAATTCCCACCACCAAGTCACGTGTGCACCGTCACCATAGTTAGTCCCTTGTGCTCTTCCCTTCCCCGTTTGTCTCCCTCTTCTTCCCCTGCAGAATGTCTAGTACTTGGCTTTTTTGTTGCTTGTTTATTTCACTTAGCATAATGCCTTCAAGAATCAGTCATGTTGAGCATGTGACAGGATTTCTTAAGACTAAATAATACACAGTGTAGATGCTATATTATGTATGTCCATCCATCCACCAGTGGACACATAGGCTGTGGAAGTTATTAGTAACACGTTTGGCTTTTGTGAATAATCCTGGGATGAATGTTATTGTGGCCACAGAGACTTAGACTCCAGATATGGAAATTAATCCATGCCTATGTTGAAAATAGTTACTATGTGGGATAACTCTCCCCAAAGGATAAGATAGACTTTCTCTATGCCCAGAGAGGACCTCTCTTCCAGTGTTACTTTGGTATGGTGTCCTGAGGACACAAGGGCCTCTGAAAATCCATTGTCATTACTTAAAAAAATGAACATTTCGGGCCTCCCTAGTGGCATAAGAGTTAAGATTTCAACTATGAATCATAGCATGAATTCAATCCAGGCCAGGGAGGTGACCCACATGGCACAGCAGACCTCTCCTGTCTCTCCTGCTGCTCCCCTCAGCAGTGTATTGCAGTAGACCTGCTTGCTCTGCTCCCCAATTTCTGGTGAGTCCTCTTATCTCTTCCCTCCACGCTCCCGCCCCTACCTCTGGCCTACACTCCAATTTTGTATGCATAAATAAAAACAAATCTTTTTTAAAAAGAATTTGTCAAAAAAAAAAAGGATAAACATTATTTAAGAACAGTGAAGGTCGTAGAAGCTGAGAAGAGCTCTTTGTGATTTGCCCTTTTCCCTAAGGGCTTTATTACAACCTAAGAGCATACCGTTTGAGGGTTATCATCTAAGTGTAGGGTTGTCAGTAAAATATGACTGCTATAATTGAGAAGCTCATCTTTTTACTCTCAAAAAAGGATGAGGTCCTCCTCTCTTTTCACGTGAAGTCTCCTTAACACCCACACACAGTCCATCAAGGAGGACACAGAGCCTTAGCCTGCAAGGGGCTTGAACTATTTGAAAACTTACTTTAACATAGAATACATTCAGAGCCCTCCCTGATGGTGTAGTGGGTTGAAGCACAGCACTGAGAAGCTAAAGTTACTTCAGCATGAGTTGATCCCCACCCCAGAGGTGACCCACATGGAGAGGCAGACCTCTCCTGACCCACCCTCTGATCCCCACCCCAGAGGTGACCCACATGGAGCGGCAGACCTCTCCTGACCCACCCTCTGCTCCCCTCAGTAGTAAACTTTGTCAGTCGGCCTGTTCTGCTCCCCACTCTGTCTCTGGTGAATCCTCTCACAACCCCTACACCTCTGGTCTGTACCCCAGCTCTGTATGCACAAATAAGTAAATCTTTAAAAAAAAATAGAATACATTCAAATTTCAAATGCAATACAGATCATTGAAATTGAAGCTTACCAGTGTTTCCCCCTGACCATTGAGGTATGAGTTATGATAATATAGAAATGTAGGTCTTTGTGGCAAATGTAGCAGAGACCAAGCTCTCAAAGAACCCAAAAGTCTTTGGGTTCTAATCTGATATTCTTTACTGAGTCCCTGGTTAAACAATTATTCCTACTGAAATCTAGTCATTAAAGGTCACTAATTTCATTTGGGGATCCCAGTCTGTATCTGGACCCCAACTCATGTCTGTAAATGACATTCTTAAAATCAGTTCAAGCTCAAAATTCAAAACCCACTTTGAGTTTCTTGGAAGACTAGGAAATGTACCTTCAAGGACAGAAAGGAAAACTTTTGAAAACTTGAATTACTTAATCTGACTTTCACTGACTTTTTCAGTCCATCATTTCAGTCCTTAGGAGAGGGGAGATTATTTCTCCACTTGTTACCACTTTCCTGGAACTATTTATAACCATTGTAAATACAGTAATTTTATGGCACAGGGAGGGAGAAAAGGGACTGGCCCCAGAGAAAGGTGGGTTCTAGCTCCAGTTTGGTCACTAGATGGATGACTTTGAACAAATGCTTTTGACTATGAGTGATCTTTAAAATTCAGCAGCACTGAAACTAGTCTAGCTTCTTTCTTTTCAGTTCAGACATTTCTGTATGTCAGTGACATCATTTGACTGGGTTATCCATTCTACTTTTTATTTGGCCTTTTTTCATTTGATACATATATACATATATAAAAATTCTGTACATGGTAAAAATACAAAATAAGTATTTCTTTATAAGTTATGCATTTAAACAACTACCGTTTAAAGTTTAAAAACCATTGCATGAAAAATGAAAAGGAAATCTAGTCAGTCATTTATAGTCATTCACAATAACCTTGGCATAAAATATCCATACAACACATGTGTACAAAATAGTGTACAGTTCATAAAAGCTGTGCAAAGACAGCAAAGTTCAGGGAAAAACAAAATCAAAGAGGTTGTGGGTCTCTCTCTGTTCACATCACTCCCAGTGCTCAGGAGTTTTGCAGCCCCCGAACTAGAAGGGCACAAAGTAGAGTGCTTGGTGCATATACTAGAGATACAGAAATTACAGGGAAGGCTTTAAAACAAACTTATAGAACAGTCTGGAACAGCCCCCTCCAAAATACACTTCTTTACCTAGAGAGCATTTGGAAGATGATAGGAAAGAATCGATATTTATGGTTTGCCTTACATCAAAGGCATAGATTGTTTTGTTTTGTTTTAAATCCTTGATTTTCTAAGGGCACTTCTATGGGGAAACTGTCACCCAAGTCTGGAGTTGGCTGAGAGCCTCCAATTACCCAAGATAGGAAGGTGGAGGGGTGCATGAAATCTTGGAGTTATGTGCTGCAGTTTTCATTCCTAGCTCCCTTTCCTTCTCTTAAAAGTTTTCTTACTGTATTGTGGGTTATCCGTGCTAAAGATCAGCAGAGCTAACCCCAGTTAACCCCAGGCTGTGAGAGTGGAGCACAGCCTCCTCTTCCCCATTGTGTTTAAATTAGCTTGCAATAACAAGATAGCCCTGTGGGAAGAGTTAAGGCTAGAGCCAAGGCCACAGTTTAACTTCAGTGGAGAAGGCTGTTGGCAGAAGGTTTGGTTTGGGAACAGAATGTCATTTTGGGCAATGGAAGGAGTGCGTTTGACCGCGCAAGTTCGACCTGGGGTGTCTGGGCAAGTGAACTGGGAGACTGGGTTCCACCTCTTCAATTCCAAGCACTTGTAAACAGTAGGTGGGCGCTGGACGGCTTCTAGGACACGGTGATCTCCTCTTCCTCGCCCTCCTCGTCCTCTTCCGAGTCCGAGAAGTCCGAAGGTTTGCCTGGGCTACTCGAATGCGCCGGCGAGGTGGGCAGCGGCCCTTGAAGCCTCGAGTCCCGAAGGTGTCGAGGGTCCGAGCAGGCGTGATAAGCCAGGTGGTGGCGGGGGCTACCCCGGCCCTCATCTTCCTCCTCGTCGTCCGCCGGGCCTTTCTGGCCCACGTCGCTCAGGTCCGGGTGCGGGTTGAGTTTGGTGGGAAGGGTCTGCTCGCGGCAGCCCCCACTGGACAGGAGCTCGCGCTCCTTGGAATTCCTCCACTTCATGCGTCTGTTCTGGAACCAGATTTTCACCTGGTACAGGAGGAGAGAAGTCAGGGAAGATTAAGAGGTTAGCACGGACAAGCCCCTACCCGGGATAGAGAAGGAGTTAGTTACCTGCTGGACCGTGGGGGTGGATTAGACTGTTTTATCCCCCTCCTAGCCCACTCCACCTCCTCCAGAAGTGAGTTCGGATGAGTCTCTGTCCTCACCGGCCCCTCAACTCTCCCTCAATTAGCCTCACTGGTTGGCCCCTGACCCAAATGCCGGAGGAGGAGAGCGCTGAGCCAGGGAGAGAGGGCTGTCTCGGGGGCCTTGAGGCAGCACTAGCCCGTCTGGCAGAACTCACTTTTCCCATCTGTACTACAAGAACCAACCATTTCTGAAGAAGCCTGCCTAAAGTACGAGCGCAGGGGAGGGGTGAAGAGTGGGTAAGACTCACCTGTGAGTCTTTCAAGCCCAGTTTGGCCGCCAGCTTCTTGCGGTCGGGCTTGCTGATGTACTTTTGTTTCTGGAACATCTTCTCCAGAGCCTTGCGCTGCACGTCGGAGAACACCGCTCTACGGAGCATGCCCCGGCGAGGCTTGCCGCGGGCCGCCAAAGGCCAGGAGAAGGTACCGGGGATGGGAACCACGCTGGAGGACGCTGCAGAGGGGTGGGGGTGGGAGGCTGCGAGTGAATGGGCGGTGTCTGCCCCTCAGGGGGAGCCTCACTGCTTTAAAAAAAAAAAAAAAAACTCCCCCTCTCTGATCCCTTCATCTTTTTAAAGCTCTCCTTTTTCTCCTCCTGGAGAATAGGCCACAAACCTACAAACCTGCAAGAGTGAAAGGGGCTTTCCGCCCAAATAACTTTCTCTTTCAACCATGCAAACTCGGATTAGGTAAAACCACGGAAACACAGAAAATAGTCCTCACAAAAGGCTGTTTTCATTTTTTCTTTCAACGGTTTTGGAGAAACAAACCTGTGTATATGAGCTAAAATAGCAACGGGTAAAAATACAAATAAAATGTCCAGTTGAGGCTACTGGGTTTCTCACCCTAAGCCTTTATCACCTTGGTAGCTTTTGCAGTCTTTGGATGAAATTTGCTTTACTGATTTGGTAGAGAGGAGAAAATCCTCTTTGGATTTTTTTTTGAGAAATCCAATCAGTATTCATCTTTTTATATTAATCTTTGCTCCCTTCCCCCACAAAACGTAAAGAATTCAGCCCGAATACATGAAAAGTGGCAGCTAATTAGCACATTGACCGCTTCCCAATGGGTATTGGCATGATAAAAAGGGGGAGAGTTTCGCTTTAAGGAAGGAAAAAAAATCCCAAAAGAAACAGAGACTCTAATGAAGCGTGAATGGTAATTGTGTAGTAATGAACTAACAGAAAAAGACTGAGGACAAGCAGCGAAAGCCATATATTACTGGGACAAAAGAGATTTACACTTTCAAACTAAACACAACTGCAGGCCAAGACCATTGGGAGAATACTGATGGCAGAGACTTCTCTTCTCCAAATCATTTTCATTAAATGGACATGAAAAGCTATTTATAAAGCTCGGGTTGTTTTTGTTAGAGCATTGAGATGAGGGAGAAAGGGAGCAAATTCCATTATCACTAGCGGCATGAATGGTGGTGGTGGGGCATTGGTGAATTCTCTCTCCCCCTTTTAAAAATCAATTGCTTGTTTCTTCCCTGATGATATTTGGGAGTGCTGTTGTGGCTTTGCCATCCCCCACCCACATACCCAGCCTCCCTTCTCTTTATGGGGTTCTTCTGTCTACTTCTGAATCTTGACCAGTTGCAGAATTTTTGAGCCATATTTTGAATCACCACTGGAATCCCCTGATGGTAGCCTCATGGAATCTGTTTAAGGTGTTTCTCTTTTATTCTGGGACCCAGTTATGAGCTTCTCTCATCTTACAAGCTCCAACAATCTTTAAAAATATGGCAGTGGGGGGGGTGCATATGAGAATAGGTTGGGAAATCTGGGAGGAAATAGAAGTTTGGGGTTATGGGGAGGATCTAGTACCCCTCCCCCTGGGCGACCCCTGGCATCCCACACAAGAGGGCACCCCATGTGGTCTTGTGAAAAGCCCGAAGCCCTGAATGAGTCTTAAAGAGAAATTAGCCCCGGCTGGTAGGTGTCTCTGGGCGGCGTGGAGGGGAGAGGGCTGGTCTGTGTGTGGCTGCCCAGAGGAGCTGACCAATTGGTCATGGTGCTGAAACCTTTGTGGGGAATCGTGGCCAAGTGCACTGACTCTGTGGGAAAACGGCGGCGTGAAGGGATGCCAACAGCTCTTCGCCGAGAAGGGAACCGCCTCAAATTGGGACCATGACAATTCCTGCTAATTTGTAGAGCAGGGACTTGGTGCAAAGTGTCAAGCAGTCACTGCTTGTGCTAAATAGGGCATCAAATTGGCGCGACGGATTCGTGAATGTTGTACGCCTTGCAACCTCTGAACCAGATCTTAACCCCGAGGGGTGGACGGAGAAATATGGTTTGGGGCAGAGAACGAAGGGCTGGTACTGGGGCACCGCCCAGTATCCCGACAGGAAGAGAGATGAGACCTACCTGGGAAATAAGAAGATCTGATGAAAGGCTGGAAGGAGCTTTCAAAGTAGGGAAAGGCGAAGGTCTTGGGAGGGACACTCTGGAGCAAGGCAGGGGGTGTTTCTGGGAGACAAGGAGGCGGTAAGGGAGAGAGACAGAAAGGGAGTTTGATTAAATACTTGATCTACAACACATTGGATATATGATATGACTAACCTCTGCTGATTTCAAAGGCATCTTCCTCAAATTGACAGTAAAGTAAATCTTAAGATTTTTGTCATCCATGGAAATCCTTTTCCCCTTTATCACCCCTACATAGTCCTCAGAGTGGATCCCTGCCCCCAGTCTAATACTAGACACTGACAAGATAAATAGGACTCAGACAGGGAAGAAAAGAACTGCAGATCCGTGATACTAGCTAAAATAGTAAACATGTTGCCTCAGATTTTAAAAACTGGCTCCCAGAAGCTAGCAGTAGATAAGCGAGTGTCCAGTCTCAGCGTCATTCCGCAGGGAATTGCACGCTCTGGAGACCACAGTGCTCAAGTTCATTCTGGAGCTGGGGCTGGAGTCGGGTGCGTGCGGGGAGGGGCGCCCTGGAGCTTTTCTTTCTGAGAGGACCAGCCTCTCATTACCCGACGTGGGACTTCGCGAATCATGCATACGCGGGTTTATGCCTGGGACTGCGTATAGAAAACGGACTCCACACCTGGTCCCTCCCACCTGTTGCCGTTCACTTACCAGTTCTGGGCGCAGAAGAGAGAATGGCGTTTACCCCAAACTTCAGAAACGTGGGCTCGCTTGCAGGGGAGACTGCCGTCTGAGGGGAGCCTCCCCTTCGGCTGCCCGAGCCCGGGGAGCCTAGCTCTGAGGCCCCAGTGTCTGTGAGAGCCCCTGCTGGGGCCCCTTGCCTAGGCGGCGACATGCTGGCGGTGGGCACGCTGCGGGGCAGATAAGCTGGAGGCCGGCTGATGCGGATCAGATCTTCCACCAGGAAGCCGGAGTGGCCGGAAAATGCCGACTGCAGGGACTGGGGCAGCGTTAAGGTGGGCGTGGGGCGCAGGAGGCTGGGGTACCCGGTGGGGGGCGCGAGGAGGCCGGGGAACATCATGTTAGGCGAGGGGCGGGCGGAATAGCCCTTTTCCCTGCCGCTGGAGGGTAAATGCCTGGCTTCCCGCCCCTCACGCCCCCGCAGTGCCCTCTCTCTAGGGCTTAGCAAATGTCTCCTAGTAGTGGTCCCGCTAGGGCGTCTTCGAGTCCTCCGTGGTCGTCCCGTCGAGGTGATGGTTTTATAGTGGCCCGCCCGTTAACGCGCTTTGAAAAGTGACAGCTCTGACAATGAAGTTCAACAAAGTTCTCTACTCAAGCTTCATTCGCCGGAGGCTCCGGGCGCTCTGATTGGCGCAGGGGTGCAATTTATGATTGGATTAGTCTTCATAAGCATGGCCCGCACAATGGGCTGGTAACAAAGGCTGGCTCGCATCAATTCTGCATATCGACCGCCTCTTTGCAATACAGTGCGCCCCCAAAGCTCTCCGGGAGTTTTTGTTCCGAAGCAGCACCCGGGCTAATTAAATGCCTATTTAGAAGTTTCAGATGACATCTTGCCTCATAGAAAAGGAATTACTTAAAGAACGCACTAAATTTATTTGCAGCTTCCCTGCTGAGCCTAGAAAATAAATCAATAAATATTCATAGAAACTCATCTCCAGGCAATCATTAAAGTAATTCCCCCCCTCACACACTTGTGGGGAGGGCAATGGAAAATTTCAAGTTAGTGAATGTGAAAATATAGTCCCTCTTAGGTTTCTGGACTTAAATGTTACTGGAGCAAGAGCATAGTGCAGAAGTTAGGGCTGCGTGAAATCAATATGGCAGAGGGGGTACCATGCTAACAGCACAAGGGGACTTGCAAGTTGATACTGGGGAGCTACAGAAAGTGTCCGTTGAGGTGGGAAGGGGTGGTCTTCATCTGAGTTATTTCATTTTTTCTGGAAACTGAGTTTGAGAGTAAAAGAACTATTCTGCAAACTCCCAGCAATGTGAGGAACAGGTTTTCAAGGATGTTTCTCTAGGAATGTCACCAAGGAACACTGGGGGAGAAGTGGAGAGGAGCATTGCATGGAGACTAGGTGACTGGATGCTATCAGTACTTGCAAAGGGCTTACCCCAAAGAAGCCACCTGGCAGAAGGCCATCTGTAGACCCTGGGCCTTTTCCAACCGCAAGGAGTCCTTTGAGTTTGAGTTGAAATGCACAGCCTGGACATTTAAAATCAGAGTTTGGATGTTGTACTGAGGGAGCCCATCCATTTCCAGTCCTTTAAGTTGGTCAGTTTTGAAGCTTCCTAGTTAACAGCACAGCAGTGTGGAAACTCAGCCAAGGGCGTGGTACCAAGAGAGTTGGTCCACACCAGAAAAGCATGTTCTGAAATTGGGGCCTCAAGTGAGACTCTTCCTGGAGACAGTCCCTTCACTTTCCTCTGGGTTGGGCTGGGGTGGCACTGAGCCTGGATTCTCCCATTTCTCTGCTAGGCGAGATAACAGATGTGTTAAATGTCCCATTCATTTCTTGAGTGTGGCTGAACCTCCCCAAAGAGAAGTGTGCAGTCCCGCCAGGCCGCCCTGATCCTATTAACCATGAACTAACTGTCACCTTCAGCTGGTTTTCCTTTTTGCTTTTTAACACAAAGCTTTCTCAAAAATCTTATTAACCAGCTTTATTTTTCTGGATGGTTTTGTCCAGGGTGTTTTGTGTCGATGATCTCCATGTCGCTGCTTTAACCATTCAATAAAAGTGCATCTGTGATTTATATCACATTAAACCAGAAACAGAGTCCACTAAAGCTCTCCCTTGATTCAAATTAGAAAGTTATTTAGGGCCAAACTAATGCTTGGAGGTGATGGAGTGACGAGTTTCTCAACCCAGGACTGTTTATGGAAGCACACTGGGCAGGAGGGCGGTTGAAAGCAGCTCTGGAAAAAAGTGGCTATTGAACTTGTTCACTTTAATAAGCGCTCCCTGGAAATGAGTATGTAGGGGAAGCAGATCAGTGAACCAACTTAAAAATGTTCCTCTTTTTGAAGTTTTGCAGTAAACTAGGGGAGAAAGAGCTAAATTATTTGAACACCTGTGCTTTAACATCACCACAAGACAAAGTTGCCGTAGCAATCACCCCCCCCACCCACACCCCAATTGTTTTCTGGGGATGGAAGGACCAACTCTGACTTTGGCATTTCTCTCTCCTCTTTCCCTCCAGCCTCTTCTTTCCTTTTCTACTTCTCCTCCTTCAGCTTTTCTTATTCGTCCTTTCTGCCCCCACCCCCACCCCCCAGAGCTGGTGCTGGTGCCGGAGGTGATGGAGGCAATTGCAAGTGTAAGATCTCTGTCAAGGATGCCACCTGCCTTTTTTGGGGGAAGCAGGAATAGAGCCTATCTTCACACGTTTTTGTTATTTTGTGGGGAGGCATGAGGACTAGAAGCCAATCTGGGGCCTTCCTAGGGGCCCCCTTCGATAGGCGTCCCTTCTGCTGGAGCATTTCCCAGGGTGTAGTTTTTACAGTTATTATCCTGCCTGTTGACATGCTCCAAGCCCTCACCCCCCACCCCCACTCCCAGTCGTTCTAGCTCATTATAGACGAACTGTTGTTAATTTCTCTGCTTTTAAAAAGTAGCCCTGACTTTTTTTTTTGGAAGGCAGGTCAACCCCTTGCTGTGATCCACGTGGACCCGGTTTCCAGCGGCCGGTCTCCACACCCTCCTAAAGAATTTAGACACCGAATAGGAAACGTGAGGGCGGGAGCGAGGGTTGGCCGCCCGTGAAAAGGCAAAATAAATCCTAAGGAAGCAAGAAATCACACGAAAGAATCTTACTTTAAGTGAACTCCTTGAACGCGTCTTTTCAAACGCTGCCATAGCCTAAGGGGCCGTGCCTCGCGGCGGCTGCAGCTAAGACCTGTGACTAATGCCGTTTGACCTGAGTCCATGGGGTTTTGTGCGTCCTGCCATTCACTGTAATGTCGTTATCTTCGAGTGTATTTCGGCGAAGTCCCTCGCGTACTTGATCCCATAACTGGACTTTCTATTTCTCTTTCAAGGGAAAAGAAGACGGGAAGGGGAAAAGTAACAGTTTGTGGTTAGGGTCTCCGTCCGCGCTAGGGGCGCGAAGCTCTTTGAGGAAGGCTGCGCTCCCTGGGGCCGAGGAGACCCAAGCGGCGGGAGCCTCCCTGGGATGGCTGGCAAGACTCACACAACCTGCTCTAGGGCTTCCTCTCCCCCCCCCCGACCCCGCCCCACCGCGTCCCCCACCCCGGCACTGGGGAGCAGGCGGGTCCCAGCGGCGTTTCGCCGAGCCGGCCAAGCAGCAAACTCCCTGGGTGAGCGCGGGGCAAGCTGAGAGGGAAGGGCGCTGCGAAGCTGCAAAGCGCCCATTGACTAGGATTCCCGCAGGCGAAAAGCTGACGAGCGTGAATTCCGGGAGGTGGGACAGGACCCCACCTCTCCCTTTGCAAGGGTTCGAACCCCGGGCTGGAGATGCCAGCATTTAGTGTGATCTTTGCAAGTGAGGCTGGTTGCTGGGCGGCGGTAACGGGGAAAAGCTGGCGTAGCCCGTTTCTGCGTTCCGGGAGGCAAAGAGCGAGCCGCTGGGTTAGGCAAAGGAGGAAGGCAGCGAGGCTTGCGCTGAAAGAACTCTTCTACAGCCCCTGTCCTCTTGGCTGGCCGCTCTATTAAGACACCTCTAAGGGTTCACCTTTAGAATAGGCCACAAGGAGCTACCAACCGCCCCAGTCCTTTCTAGCATATCCCCCCACCTCTCATTCCTTTCACACACACTCCCCCCCTTTTTTCCTTGAAAATCCTTCTATTGTGCCAATCAAGCAGATGGTTTGCAGGAAATATAGCTTGGCCTCGCTGACCGAAACTAATTTTAACTAGCTTTCCAAGCCTGAAACGTTTGTTTTGCTCCTACAAAATAGCCCCTAAAACAGCTGGCAAGGGTGAATTAAACCCATTAAAGACACATTTATAAGAAATTATATTCACATAGATTGCCTGAACCCCCTTGTGCTGCCTAAGAGGGGAGATGAGTGCATTTAAATGAAAATGTCCTCTAACGCTCCCCTCCTTAACGTAGCCTGAAAGTCTCAAAACATTTTACTAAATAGATTAACTTGACTATTGTCTTGCATCACATTTATCAGCTTCATTAAGTGAATAGCTGAACAAATATATTACGCATGCATGAAAAGCTCTTTTTCCAGGAGCCTCATTGTATCCTCAGTCCTGACAGGTGGTTAACTGTGTGTTGTGTTTTTTTGTGGGTTTTTTGTGTTTTCTTTCTTTTTTTTTTTTTTAACTGGAAGAAAGAGGATCTGTGTAGAGCGCAGAGCACAGTGCTGGGCTGCCTGGAGTATACTTTAACTCACTCCTTGGTCCCTGCCCCCCAGCCCTAGCAACTGGTGAGAGGGCCGCCAAGGCCCCCGTGGCCCATTCAAAATAATCAAAATTAAAGGCTGGCGAGCCCAGACTGGAGTGTTTTTCTCTCCCTCCTCCCCTCTTCGGTTTGAGACGTTAATTTTATGTTGTTTGTTTCAAAACTGATGTTTCCCTCTCCCCTTAAAATTATCTTTACTTTTTGTTGTTCATCTCAGATGGAGGGGTTAAATAGCTTTTTAATTCATATTTGTGTCCATTTCATTTTACTGTGTCTTTAGGGAACGTCCTTGTCTTCTGGCCCTCCCAGTCCTTATGTGTAAAACCAGGAGCTGCCCTCCAGAGCTCTTAAGAGTCTTTTCAGATCTGACCTTATACGTTGAAAAACTCTCAGCTCCCAGACTTCAATCCGCCAGGTGACCATAGAATGTTTTTTGGAATTAGGAGGCCCACTCAGAATAGAGGGAAGCATAGAGGAAGGATGCAGATTAGCAGACCCTGAGAGGTGGGTCGTTGTGGACTTCATGGATCTGACTTCGACTTTTCCGGTCTCAGGATCCACCCGAAGAGCAGAGCTTAGACGCGAGGCTGCCCGCCCCGGGGGGCGTTTTCCCACTGAGAGGGCTCCTCTTCCTAATCAGGTTACACAACAGGTGTGAATCAGGAGTCCCCTTCCTGG